AAGTAGTGTTCCCACTTAGTACAGATGAGGCTAGTAATAGACGAAGAAGCGACCAACTATAGAGTATATTCATCATAATCATGCATTCTGAATAAGCATGCATTAAGTGGTAACATGGATATGATACTATATTCTAAATTCATAACACCTTCGAGCTTGAAATGGAATTGATCAATCATGTGTAAACATGTGTCAACTCAAGCCACTTGATTGCTTCAGAGGAGAATACAATGATGACATTCAAGGTAACATTCAAGATAACTCACTATAAATGCTCATAGTTAATTGAAACTCGGCATGAGAAAGCACAGATCACTAAATTCCCATTATGCACAAGATGACTGTCATCAAACACTTGGAAAGCAATCATGAAGTTAAAAGTAAAACATCTATACATAAACAAAAAAACATGGTCGTACCAGCTTTCTTCACTGCATCCACTTCACCTAATATTCATCATTATTGCCTTGTCACTTGCACAACTTGAATGGCGTGGATAATAATAATATAGTGCAAGTGTCATCGTGAGTAAAGCTAAAAACTGCTGACAATTGTACAAAAGAAGAGGAGACAAAGAAAATATTTTTGGTCTTTTCAATGGTTCAATAATAAAGGACATAAGAGCCAGACATAAGTTTTTTCTTCTCATCAAAACATAAGACTCAATAAGATGCAAACGAGAAATATTTTTGGAATTTTTGGTTTACAATTTGAACACACGGATCAAAGAATCAACAATGAAAAGCCAAAAAGAACGACAAAAAGAAATCATAAGAGAAAACATAAGAGTACGAAAGGAGAAGTCTTTTGGATTTTCTTGAAACACAAAAGGCAAAGAAGAATTCAAAGAAACACAACAGAAATATTTTTGTAGTTTTTAGTTTTTCTTAAAGAAAGCAAACAAGAACGCAAAAAAGAAATGAAGGGCAATCTTTCGAGATTTTTTAAAACTTTCAACAAGAGGCAATCAAATAAACTTTCAAAGAAAAGGCAACGCGAACATAGAAAATGTGCTTGTTGTTTTCTAAAAGAACCTCAAAAGAACAACAGAACCAAAGAACAAGTAAATATTTTCGGGCTTTCTTTTCTTGAAAGTAAATGGCGAGAAAAGCAAAAGAAACTAAAAAAACAAAGGGGACACAAAAGAAGAGAACTGAAACCAAAATAAAGCAAAGAAGAACGAGAAATATTTATGGGTATTAAATTTTTAACAAAACAAGGGAACAAAGCAAACGAAACGAAACAAAGTACGGATACACATAGATCATCAAGTGCACCAACAAGTGTAATGAATCTATATGATAACCTGAATGAAATGTCAGTAAAGAAATGTACTCCCCAAGCTTAGCTTTTTGGCCTAAGTTAGGCTCACTCTATGGGCTCCACGGAAGATTTTATAACATGGATCCACATTAGCCTCCCAAGGGACACGACTCATGCGCTCAACCTCCTCCCGTCCCAAAAACTATTCACACTTTTTGTTAAAGAAATTTCATTTTTGTTTCTTTTGTCGTGAAGTTGATGGGCAGTTTTTCCATCACAATTGTTTTTAGTACAACATAAGGTCAAATTTGTTCAAAAAAGGTTCATATTTTCTTTTTACTTTTTGTGTAATTACGAAAATATTTTTCCCATATCAGGTGTATAAGCACCCAAGAACCAAGCGTTATTTTCCATTGAAGCCCCACGCATTTTGTGGGGAACGAACTAATATCACACAGTTCAGGAAACGCCTGACCAAGGCAGTATCCACCTCATTTCCTCGTATCAGAACATCAGGCAGACAAAAAAGCCTTGACGATCAGCTTGACCAGCCTAAGATCAACAGAAGTAGGTTTCAGGAAGAGGACAACGTCATCCGCATAGATAGATATATGCTGCAACTTAGTTATGGCAGGTCTGGAACTGAGCACGCCCACTCCTCGGCCTTGGACATGAGAACATACTATGGCAATTACAAACATGAGCGGCGAGAAGCTATCTCCCTATCGAAGACCACGCACATGCTTAATCCTTCGTCTCAGCACACCATTTACCTACCTTGGTACTTGAAGTTTGGAGCAAAATCAACAGCCAATTCAGCCACTTAGGGCATGAGCAATGGTAGAAGCACCATGTGATGCCCCAGTGCACTTCATCTCAGCGAGAGAAGACGAGGCCATCGTTGTGACATTGATTACTCAATGCTAGCCACCCTTCTAGTGGGACCCATCCTCTATTTTTTACTCAAACAAGGGGCACGGGCAAGGTCATCCTGGCCACTTTCTCTTGCTTTTCCCTCTTTCTCTCGCTTTTGCCAGCCAAGAGACGGGTTCTTCTGCAGGAGACCGCTTTGGTCTGCAAGCATCAGGTTCATATGAGCTGGACTGTAGAATCCGACGTGGATAGCTGGAGCATCTGTCCAAAGTGGAGCGATGGCCATGCCCTTAGATGCGAAACCCTTCCGGTGAAAACTCCAAAAAGGAATGCCCAGGACAGCGAGTCAAAAGCTCTAGGTAGGGCTGGGCATTCGGTTTATATGGTTAATACAGTTTGATTTATTCGGTTTTTTAAAATTTTGGTTTTACAGAAATGGCCACCAAAATAATCACTCATATTTTAAACACTGAACCATATTAACCAAAATATATCGGTTCGGTTTGTTCAGTTAACCGGAAAACCGAACTACATGCACCCATCAGTCTATGTGTCATGACTCTTCAGTGAGGTAAACACTGTACAGAATGCACAAAATATCTAGTTTCATGAGGCACACGTAGATACTATATCTACTAGCTGGAAGGATTCACTGGCCCTCGACTATTGTTGCATGCAAAATAATAGTAAAATATTTCAAATAGATTAAAGTAACCGGTAGCATGAATGTTATTACGTACTATTTATATTGAGTTACTGGATTATTTTAGCATGTACTAAGAGATTTGAACTTTTAGGACAGGCGAAAGATGTACGTGTGACTGTGAGCGGCCGGCCGGGTGTCCACCACAACCATATATTTAATTAATAAATATAAAAAAATACTACGTACAAGCCTGGACCAGCAATTGGATTAGGCCAATCGGCCTACTGAGCTATTGACTATTGCGCTTCACTTCGGTTTCTTCGGTGAATACGTTTTACTAGTGATGGAAACCGAACGCTATCCCAAACACCCAATAGCACCCAATTTTCACACCGAACCATAAAACCAAAAACCAAATAAGCCATCAAATTGGTTAATATGGTTTCGTTCGGTTTGGTTTTTCGGTTTTCGGTGTCAAAGTGCCCACCCCTAGCTCTAGGGGTCATTGTTGCACATACAGTCAATGGTTTTGGTCAACAAGACAAGCCGGAGTTGAGGCGACTCGCGACTCACGCACGCCACCACCCAACGCAGGATCTCTCCTCCACTGCCACCATCCCGCCGGCTCATCTTCCTCCCCAACCGCACCTTTCTCTCCTTGCCGTCGCCCGAGGCGCCCTCCGGCAAAGTCCGAATGGCTTCGGGGAAGGTGGCGGCGAGGCCCTTTTCTAGCTGATCGGCGTGGCTGTAGCGGCCGTGATCCATGGATCCGGGGCGGCGGCCCCATGGAGAGGCGGCGGCGTCCTCATCGGGACGGCGCCCCGCGGCGGCGGCAGGTCAGATCAGATCTGACCTCAATTGCGGCGGCGGCATGGTGGGTCTGGTCTCCGGTCAGATCTAATCCGGCTGGTGCAGCCTGCTTCATGCGCGACGACAGTGATCGGTGGCGGTCCCCTGCAAACGATGCTAGATGGAGGGTCCTCGAGCAGATCTAGGTGAAACCCCTACTCTTGCCACGTTGCAAGGTCGGCGATGGCGGCATTTTTTTTTTGTCGTCCCCTTTTGAAGGCATCGTCGTGGAGAAGCTCTAGACTCCTATCTGCTACCTCCGGGGGAAACCTTATATCAATCGATCGGATGACGGCGGTGCTCACATGTCGTACCCCTCGACAGCATCATTCTTAGAGGTGTGCATAGGCTCGAGGGACCAGTGGACGACATCTATGGTGGAGTGGCGTTCACTGTGACGCATCGACGTTGTGGAGTCTCGGCGGGGAGGCGCAGCAAAGTCTCAACGACGGATGCATGATGATGGACGCACGTAGGGAGGAGGCGTTGTCTGGCGCCATGGGGGCGTCGTCGGCAGGCTAGCAAGATCGATGTATCAATACCTGCTCTGAAGATGGATTGATGGAAGACGGCGGCGACGACCTATGAGTGCGTCACACCGGTTTGTGGCCCAGACCCGGTATGTGGCTTGGTTGGGGCCTCCAACTTTAGATAGTATGTGGCTCGGTTGGGCCCTCCGACTTTAAATGTTAGGCTAGGTGAGAAGTCTAGGTGTTCGGCTCACACTTTCTGCACCCCTTCATCAATGGATAGGAGTAGCGACAGATATTGCCAAAACGGTGGCTTCAGATGTATTGATGTATTACTTTGTAAGGTCTTTGTGAATAATTAATAGTGACTGGATGCATCTTCGAGATGCAGAGGCCGGGGGTCATCCTCCTTTTCTAAAAAAGACATGCAACAAGTTTATGATACATTCTTGATGTAAAGAAATGATATGATGCGTGCGATAGAAATGCTAGACGCAAATTTACTCCACGAATTTGCTTGTTCTTTGGCTTCTGTAGCCACATTGTAAAATCCCCTTCGTCATGATTAGCAATGTCTTAGTGACATATAAAGTCATGCCTCGTCTTCAGAAAATAACGCATGAAAAGATCAACCATTAATTCTCTTGCTATTGTTGAGATACCAGACAAGGGCAGAACATGTGGAAAAAGAACTGCAAAACATGTTTGCTAAAAAAATGGCAAAATATGTCGATGTTCATCACATAAGCCATGCCACGAAAGGTGATTACAGATAGCCATCAAGCACTTGCAGGTTAGCATATACATCCCGGGAAATCCCGATCAATTAGAAATGGCATCAAATAAATACATGATACAAAATGCAGTGGCACCATAATAAAACATCAGACGAGCAGAGATTACTTCACAAGCGGTGAAGTCAGAATGTATATGTCGATCTCATCCAACGTCGGGCAGTCGCGCAGCGTCAAGCTGTGTTCATTTGCCAGATGCAAGAGACAAATGAAATAGAGGTGTTGCGAGATTTCAGTCGTTGAAACATCTCTGTTACTGCATGGAAGATCATGCAGTACCTTCGTCAGGCACAGAGACGATTCTATGCCATCTCTTTCCTGCAGGACCAAGTACAATCAGGCTTAAATACTGTAAGTAATTTCGTACCCAAACCAGAAGACGGGAAGGGAAAATGGTTCTTACCAACAAAGTAAGGAAATCATAATACTTGTGAAGAATGTAATATAATGTGTGCACATGGCGATGTTAATTGTTCACATGTAAACTTATTCTATTCCCCTGACAAAAATGTACATGTACTCAAACCTGTTAAGTAACAATGTTCTTTTAAGGCCGTTAAAATGCATGAGTGCACTATGCCACTACCGGAGTATATGTAGATGCATACGAATATAGGTTCATTAACTCCAGTTGCCCGTGTTGCTAATGAATACTCCCTCCGTCCGAGAAAACTTGTGTCCCTCAAATGGATGTATCTAGCACCAAGTTAGTGTTAGATACATCCATTTAAGAGACAAGCTTGGGACAAGCTTTTTCGGACAGAGGGAGTATAAAGTCAAGTAGGAGGGTTGATTTTAAGTACTATACTATTATTAAAACCCTTGTTTTTTGTTTAAAGGTATCAATAAAACATGGGCAACGTATTAGGTATGTAGGTGCATATGAATGTAAGTACTCCCTCCGTCCGAAAATACTTGTCACTGAAATGGATGTATCTAGATGTATTTTAGTTTTAGATACATCCAATATCATCCATTTTGATGACAAGTAATTCCGGACGGAGGGAGTGCTACATAACTCCAGTTGCCTGTGTTGCAAATGATCCTTTTTTCAAATATTGCACGTTTGGTCACAACGAAAATTCTTATGTTTTCTTAAATCAAACTAAGAATATGTGGCACCCAAAAAATTGGCAAACCACAACAAATTTGTTTTCGACGGCTAAAGGTATTTCTTTTCAGTCCCTCAAAGGTTGGACACATCCCGCCCACAGCAATTTGAAACATTCCAGCGATGAGCAGTAAGGCTATTGCTTATTACAGTAAGACAAATAGAATATCCTTACAAATATATAATATGTATACTATCAAATACGAAAACTCAGACCCAAAATGTCACCTTAGTCTAAGCAACTTGATTACCAAAAACTGTTTTGGACCAAGAAAGACAGTGAATGGCAATAGCATGGTTGTTACTTGGTATATACTGTATTACTCCCTCCGTTCCTAAATACTCCCTCCGTCCCAAAATTCTTGTCTTAGATTTTCCTAGATACGGATGTATCTAATACTAAAATGTGACTTGATACATCCGTATTTAGACAAATCTAAGACAAGAATTTTGGGACGGAAGGAGTATTTGTCTTTCTAGAGATTTCAACAAGTGACTACATACGGAGCAAAATGAGTGAATCTACACTCTAAAATATGTCTATATACATCCATATTGGTAGTCCATTTGAAATCTCTAAAAAGACAAACATTTAGGAAATGGAGGGAGTAGATTACAATGGCCCCGTATGTAATATATCAAAAAAATGCATCAAGATATGTAGCATTGCAATGAATAGGAAAAAAAGTCATAATCATGACAAGCGCTACATCAAAAAAATTGAAGAAATTATTGTGCTAAACAAGTACTTTTAAGAGGGGATGCCACAGCTAATCTACATAAAAAATGACAGTTAGACCTATATTTGATGGTAGTACGTACTCCCTCCGTTCCCAAATACAAGTCTTTCTAGAGATTTCAACAAATGACTACATACAGAGCAAAATGAGTGAATCTACACTCTAAAATATGTCTACATGCATCCGTATGTTGTAGTCCATTTGAAATGTCTAAAAAAACTTATATTTAGGAATGGAGGGAGTAGTAACCAAAGCACGTATATTACCAGATCAGCAGTCTTAGCAGATGAATGAATGTGATTCCAGAGCACTTCCTTTAAGGCATGAACATCGACTTGTTTCGATACCTTGTCATATTGTACATCGATCCTATTGACCTATGATTCAATCACAAAGAAAACAGGCATCAGCTCAGAACTGACCAACGGCCCAAAAGTAAAAGGGTAAAATGGTTATACCACAAAGAGCAACATAAGTCAATTTCAGACTTATAAGAGTCATCAGCCTGGAACAATAAAAAATTCTGTATATAACTGTTTGGTCTTAGCACGCTGCCCAAAGGCCAACAACTGTAGATTGGAGGAGCCCTAGGTAGTCGAGTATAGACTAACCCGATGTTGCACAGACATTATGTGGCATCATCAGTATCAGAAACAGTAGTTCATAACAGGGTATAATGTGCAGAAGAGGGTCGATAGATATTGGCTGGCTTGAAAGCAAGATCAGATGATTGTAGGAAAAAATAAACCAGTGGTGATAGAGAAGACTTGACATGGGAGGAGTCCGTAAAGAGCGATCTGAAGGACTGGAGTATCACCAGAGAACTAGCCATGGACAGGGGTGCGTGGAAGCGTGCTATCCATGTGCCAGAACCATGAGTTGGTTGCGAGAACGTATCGGTTTCACCTCTAGCCTACCCCAACTTGTTTGGGACTAAAGGCTTTGTTGTTGTTGTTGTTGGTGGTGGTGGTGGTGGTGGTGGTGGTGATAGAGAAGACTCTTTATGAGGAAAAGGTCAAAAGGACAATTATATTTCCTTGCATTCTACTACTAAATTACAAAGCACGCCCATGGACAGACTGAACTAGCCACTTAAGACTCAAACTTTATCCTGATAATCCATTTTAACCCAAATTCTTATGATAACATACTACCCAAACCAAAATACTAGCAATAACATTGCAAAGGTACAGGCCAGATCCAGAGCATATTGAAACCACACTATTGATGAAGTCAGACAAACTAATACCCCAAGTGGCTGACGAATTGTTGGACAACTCTATGCAGAGCCATGAACTCATGAAAGCATCAGACATTCATATGTGATTTTTAACACATTAGCCATTGATTCCAGAAAAGTGAAAATACAATCAAAGCATACAGAAATATGCCCACACTAAGAAAACAACCTGGGTCAGTGCCCAATGAATAGGAGTGAAATTTGGACATCAGTGGCACAGGTAAAGGGTATGTTTGGTGTAGCCAACATGTGCCTTACCAATTTTTCGGCCATGGCCAAAACTTTGGACTTGGTTTGGATGGTTGCAAACTTTTTGGCATGCCAATAGCTCCTTACCCACTCTAGTAATTTTTTTAGCCAAGGTTGGCCAGCTCTTGGGCACACAAAACCTTGATCAAAATTGTCTAGCCAAATGTTTGGTGGGGAAGACACCCCAGGTATTTAACATGTGATTTCCTAATCTAGGGAACTATTAAGCAGCACAAAGCAAAGTTTATGTGCAGGTTGAATATGAAGTGATTGATCATGCACAAGATTGAATCAATAGGGGTGATACATCGCTAAATTCCAAATACAATTGATGGATTGGCGCAAGTCAAAATAGCTAAAAAGTAGATAGAGACAGTTCTTCAAAATGGCTTTTAACTCACCATCTCCGCTTCGCACTGCAAATCCATTAAGCAGTATTCAAAATGTGTGACAAGAAGAGTGTAGCTGTTGCAATGTTATCACTTCCTGCCCCTGCTTTAATGCAGTAAGAGACCGAGTGGGCATGTCATCTAATACAGTGGTCCAGTATCATGAACAATTTCATAGATGTGCTCACTTTGTTTGTGCATGTGGTGGCCTGGACATATGTTGTGCAGTTCGAGGGTGCACTCCTGTAAATACTCTTCTGTGTACACTACAATTCTTTTGTTATTGAAAGTTTATGATTGCTACATCTAACAAAGATCAATCCCTCTAAAGGTTAAGATCTTCCCACGGAAGTTATTTCAAGGCAATTTTCCCTCTAGTGATCAGATCTAGAAGGGGAATGGGCCAAATTCCGGGAATTGCGTGTTGGTGCCCGATGACGAAGTTTATGTGGAGCTGCACGAGGGAACTCCTGATGTGCAACTGGAACCATTCTTGTTTTGGTGATTTCTTCAATTTAAGTGGGGACACCTTAGGTCAATGACGTAGGATCAATTAGACATGAGCACAGAGTTGGGCTCTGTCGAATATTAGAAACAAGTTGACCATCAAGTGGGTGATTCCTGTTAGAGGAGCAACTTACCTTTATTGCATACCACATGGGGCAAATATATAGTAAA